CCACCCTGGGGATAGATAGCCGGAGGCTATTGGATATCTCCAGGCAACCTGGGATAGTTGCCACTTCAGACCAAAAGAGCGTCCGTGCTAGCTGAGTGTGCTCGTCTTGTTTGGTTGTCGCTCGGCTAGCTCGCAGCTAACTACTCGCTACTACTATCGTCCTGGAGGTGTCCTGGGGATGGTGGTGGGATATAGGAGCTAGCGCACACAATCTGCGTGACTTGCATGATGCGAAGCGGCCGATGTGGCTGTCCCAAGTCAATAAAAACTCCCTCTGCAGTTTTCTGCGCGTGTTTGCGCAGCCAGCGGGCAGCAAGGTTTCACCGAAGTGCAATGACAATCTTGGATTTTTCAGGGTTCACCTGCATCCCACTCTGTTGGAGCAGATCAAAAGTCACCTGGACACATTTGCAGACGAAGTTCAAGTCCGCTATGTCTTGCACCTCCCACGACAGATATTTGTCGTCTGCAAATATCGTCATGAAGGCTGCAGCCCACCGCGGTGAGGTGGCTTCAGCAATGCGATCGTACAGCCAAGCCGTGTACAGGGCATATAAGAGTGAATGCGTAGCTCTGATGGCACTTCAGCAGCCTGCAGCGCAACATCAAGTGCTGCCCGTCCCAACAGGTCAACGGCACGACTAAGATCAAGACTTATCATAATCCCGCCTGTGCAAATTGTGGGCACTACACCAGCACGACGATCGTGAGTGCTGACGGTATTGATTCTTAGCTGTTCCCGAACCCGTTGGCAATGGCTAGCTGCCCGACTGATGGCTTGGTCAATGGACTTATTGGGGCAGTAGGCGTACTGCGGCACCCTCTGCAAGCGCTCCTGGACCACTGCAAGCAGGCGAGTGCGAAGAACGATGGCTAGCAGCTTTGCACTGGGATCTTGCAGCCCTAATGGTCTAAGGTCCTTGCAATCGTTCTCCTCACTTTCTTGAAGAATCTGCTCCATGAGCTGCGAGAGCTCTGCAGGACACAGTTTCCACATTTTGGCTGGGAGGCTACCGTGGGGCACAGCTTCACCATTCTTTAGCTGCGAGATAGCAACATCAACCTCGGAGGCAGTTATGTTGAGAGCTTCCAGGGATGGGCGTCGATAATCAGTTGTCCTGCTGAAAGCCCCGCTGAAGTACTCGTAGATAGCCTGAAACTCCTGCTTCTGATCCAGCAGCTTTCCGTCCGGCGTGCGGATTCGTACCTTTTCTAGGCGTTTTTTAGGGGCCAACTGATTGATAACCCGATAAACCTCAGACTGATTCTGTTGCTGGGATGCTTTTTCGGCGAGGATTATCAGCTCTTCTATGTGCTGCCTTCGTGCAAGTCTGCTGGTCTTCTGCAGTGCTCGAACCCTGGCTTTAAAGGACGCAAACTGCCTCCATGCTTGCCGGATGGCGGTGCGATCCGGGGAAGGACCCATGCTAGCGATCAGCAGTCTGTGCTGACGCCACTTTGTGCGACTGACTCCAGTGCAGTGGTGACTTAGTCTGTACTGCATGTGCTCGTAGCGTCTTTTTTATGGGGCCAGTGGTTTGCTCCAATAGTCGAGTGAACTACTTCAGCTTGCAGTGCGGTTCGCCGCCAAGTTGTTTACACGAGGATCTGAAGTGATCGCCATCTCGATTGGCCGGGCCTTTTCATTTAAGGCTTGCTCTTGTCTCGCTAGCCGTTTCGTGACGGTGCGTCTGCAAAGCAAAGCAAAAGCCACATTTCAGCTATGCAACTCTTAACCGCAGGTGCATCACGGGGACGAGAGGCATTAGCAGGGCGATTAGGGTAGAGGATCCTACAGTGGTCCAAAACAACCCTATTAAGCTCAGGGCTTCTTGGGTCTGGGCCAGGGCTGAGAGCATGGTCTGACGCAGTTGCTCAGCTTCTGCACCCTCACTCGCTGCAGCACAGCGCAACTGTCGCATGGAGCAACCTCCAGTACGCGCAGGCTTGGCTCGCTTCCACCCAGCAACCCAAAGTAGATTTGCAACCACAGGCCTATGCTTGGGTCCTCGTCGCCAAAGCATCAGATCTAGGCGTACCGGGCAAGCCCGGCGCGCATCCGGATCAGCCGTGACTCGCCTAGTCATGATAAAGTCAAGCTGTGTACGCACCTGTTGATTACGAAACGTATGACTCCTACCGGGTGCAGCAGATCCCCAAGAATTCAGGCGGGTAATGTCGTGCGCCTGCAGTAAGGCTTCAAAGTCAGGGTCAGCATGACGCTCAGTTTGAAGAATCCCTCGTCCTATAAGGCCAGGCAGCGGTTTGATCCCAGAGTTGACATCAAAGCCCATTATCAGCAGGTTACGTACAGGAAGAGCATGCAGGAGGGCGCCCAGCTTGTTCCAGAAACCATGTCGGAGTCGTGCTATCGCCTCCTTCCGTCTCTCCTGCCATACATGCTGATATCCAGCAACCAGATCCAGGGTGACTTTGGGAAGAACGCAGCGAGCGTGCAAGAGACGCCCCGGTATCAGCGTGTTGTACGCTATCTGAGCCGCTGCAGCGACTCGCGACGATATAAAGATTCCAACCCCACTGTATCTGCTGGCGGGGTCAGGACTTATAATCGCGTGCCACGTGCCGATTTGCCAGCTAGCTTCTTGCTTGCCACAGCCCCAGTGTAACTCCTGTGCGAAAACTATATCCACATCTTGTTGTTTTTGCAACCAGTCACAGAAAACATCACACGAGGCAGGATCCAGGCCACCCAGATTATAGGTCATGGTTCTGATACGCGGTCGATGCGGTGCAGTCCGCCTGGCCTGTCTCACGGCTCCTGTGCTGTCCGGTGTAGTTGGCTCACGGCTTTGATACTCCGTGCCCAAAGATCTCGCCGTCCGCCATTCCCCACGATACCAGGTGGCACCATGTGCCTCTGCTCGACGCCTGGCTCGCCTATACGCTCGTTTTCGTACGTTACTCATCGGAGCAGCCTTCGCTTCTCCATATCCAGGGTTTTTCATCTCCGATGAGACTTCAGTACCAGCTGTGGGACAAGGTACAACCCTCGGGTCTGCTGACATGTAGGTTCGTTGCAAAGGTGGAGTGGTCATCGTCAGCCACGGGAATTGGGACCCGTGCAGCCAGAGAAGGCAGTTAGAGCAAAAATCGTGAATCAAAAACAGTACCAGCAGCCAGCTTGGAACAATCGCCATGAACCCTCGCAGGACCGCGCTCTAACTTGCCCTCACGCTCCAGCCGAGACCCTTAGGAGTCGTAGTAGTAGTAGTAGTAGTAGCAGTAGTAGTAGTAGTAGCAGCAGTAGGAGCAGCAGCAGCAGGAGTAGTAGTAGGAGTAGGAGTAGGAGTAGGAGTAGGAGCAGCAGCAGCAGGAGGAGGAGGAGTAGTAGTAGTAGTGGGTAGCGGGAGCAGCAGCGGCAGCAGCGGGCCTTCGACTATGTTCACTGGGATGTTGTTTTAGACGACGTTTGTTTTCCTCGATGTTCAGCGAATCTTCGCCTATGCCTGCAGACTCGCGGAAGCACTTCAACACCTTGCACGCCTTCTGGCGACACACAGGCCTGAGCGTGGCTTGGAAGCTGCGCATCTACAACGCGGTCTTCATCCCCATGATTGCTTACGGCATGGAATCCGCTGCGCTCACCACAGCTGACCTCCACAGGCTCGAGGCCTTCCACTCACAATCCCTTCGCAAGATCCAGCGGATCAAAGCTACCTACTACACCAAGATCTTCACAGACAACCCCAACGCACAGACCATCCGAAACGAAGGAGTCCGAGCTCTGGCCGACCAACCCCCCCTCACTCACCACATTCACAGGGCACAGCTCAAGTTGTTTGGTCACGTTTTGAGAGCAACTCCGAGCAACCTGGAGCGAAACTGTGTTTTTACGAAGGCGTTTGTATATAGAGGGGGTACAGTACAGGCAGGCATTCGCCCGGGACGTCGTAGACTTCACTGGGCCGAGCAGTGTGCAGAGCTAGCATGGCACTGGTTTTCGTACACTTCCAATGCCATGACTTCTCTCGCCCCAAGTTTTCCTTTTGCCTTCCTTTTACTTCACAGGCTGGCTGTTAACCGTCCGGCTTGGCTTCAGTTAGTGGGGCTGCCAACGTGCAAGAAGCTCCTCAGGTCTAGCGCGTTCTTTTCCTACTCACAGTGAGTACGCTGACTTGTGTTTGCTTTGCATAGGGCCGCCCAAAAAAATGCCTGCAGACTTCTGATTTCTTGTTGTTTCATCCTGCTTGTTTTCCGATTCGGTTCGCATTCCATCTTTCCATCGGCATGCTTTACTGGCGCGTACAGTTTCTGACCGTGTAGAGCAGCGACAGTGCACTCGAGAAAGCACACGCAAACTTTCGCGAGCTCTCAGTAATGCCTGCTCCAAAGCACAAGGGCGAGCACAACGAAAACACAAAGACGCAAAAACAAGAAAGAAAACAGGAACAGGAACAATAACAATAGCAAGAATCAGAACCAGAACAAGAATATCAAGAACACGAGCAAGAACAAGAACGATAGAAAGAGAAAGAACAGGAACACGAGCTCAGGAGCAGGAACAGGAACAGCAACAACAGCAGCAACAGCAACAACAAGAAGAAGGTAGCGGGCGCTTTTGCCGCCGCGAAGGGTGTAGTGTTCGTTTCTGTACGTTTCTTGGAAGCATGCAGCCTCGGGCTTTTGGTGGGTTTGGTAAGATTGACGATGTTCTGCGGATTGCTTTTTTCTTTCTCTTGTTCCGCTTGTAGTGTGTTTGAGGAGGTGTAGTAAGTACTGTGGTTTTCGTCGTTTTTGTTGTTTGACGTTTGGGTCCGTTTTTATTGGTGAGCCCGTGTGGCTCGGGACTCTTGTCCGGGACTCTGGGACCGTCTCAGGATAACCGATAACTGGAGTGACGTTGATCATTTTCGGTTTGTTGATAACAACAGCACCAACATCGACCAACATCCTCATCGTCATCGTTATCATGCTGATTTTCATCATCAGTGCCGTCACGGATAGTTATCGTCGTCATCATTGTCATCATCATCATCATCATGACCATCATCGTCATCACCGTCACCGCCGTCATCATCACCATCTGCGGCATCATCCTTATTCCCCCACCTCTGAACAGAAGCAACAAGAAAAACACAACATGTCGTCCCCACCCCCACATCGCACAGAGGCAAAAAGACAAACACTACACACATAATCCGCTTTTCCATGGATGTTATCACTCATCTCCCCATCCCCCCATCCATCCATCCCCTGTACCCCATCCCCCCACCCTCAAAAGATTCTGGAAAACGAAAACGCACCCGACCGCCAAACCAAAACGCACCCGACGTGAAAGCAAAGAACGGAAGCGGAGCAGAGAGGAGGGCCCCTGTAAATACCGATCGAAAAAGCATGCGAATGTGCAAAAGCCTTGTTTTTCGCAGCACATTGTCAAAACCGATACGAAAGCCAGCCCAATTTTTTCCACCAAACTGCGATGTGCCAAGACTCGAGTTTTGGCACATCCCAGCTCCGAAATAGTTGCAGCCTTCGCGGCGGCAGATGTGGCGGCTGCCAACAACAACAACAGCGACAACAGCAGCAGCAACGGCAACGGCAGCAGCAACAGCGACAGTGACAGCAACAGCGACAACAATGGTTTTGCGGCCAGCCTCTGGTGCAGTGTGTATTGTTGTTTGAAAAGAAGGAGTACAGAGCATCCGCAGGTAGTGCTATTTCAAGTCGCAGTACCGCACTTGAAGAGGTGCAGATATGCTGGTGCATGCAATCAAGTTTTGCAACATCGCATCTGTGCGACAGGCTGTCTTTGGAAGCTCGCCTTGAAGAACTAGGCTTCAATCCCACAGCATTGCCGATATGATGTGGTGGTGCTGTGTAGCAGGCGAGGACGTCGGACATTTTCGCGAGATGCTTCATCATCTTCAACAGTCGGAGGCAACCATCCTGCTCTGTCTGAACTTGCGGTGTCGACAGCAGCCCAGGCCTTGAAACAAGGGCCTGCCTCCCAGTTTACTCCCATGTGTTCGCTTGATTTGATGTTAGTCGTGCACGTGGATCCTCAGATTTTGTCCCGATGTCTTTGTGTCAAATGCGGCCTGAGTGTGGCATGAGTCTTTTGGAGTCAAATCCCACGGCCGCACATGAACCGGTACTGGGAGCTGAGGTCTGGTGCCACAGCAGATGATCCATCCAACCGAGCCCAGCAACAGCCTCTTTGGTGGCAGGAAGGATACTTTCGGAAGTCAAGCTCAGGCCTAGCAGTGGCTTGACGATTCTTGCATCTGTCCGAGGCTTTCTCTTCTTCTGAAGAGACTTCAGAAGTGGAACGAAGAGGTCCGTTTCGGAGCGGAGTTCCAACAGGGCAGAGCTACGGCGGGACGGAAACATCGCAGGTGAAGAGCGTCGACATGGAGCAACTCTTCGAGGCAGCTCTCTGGCTGCCCCCGAAACCCCCCCACCTCCGAGACGGTGCTCGTTACGCTGTGAGGTGTCTGCAATCGACGCTCGTATTGAGAAGACGAAGATCGAGTCCGCACAAGTGCGGCGCAAAGGGTTGCTTGCCTTGTCGTCCGCATGTGCAAGTGCTGCAAAGGGCAGTTGCAGTTGCGTATCGAGGCCACGAAGAAGGTTGAAGAGTGCCAGCAACAGCCGCACTCTTGCAATTCGTGGTGTTCGATGCCAGTGCTGGATTCCTTCATGGCCTTTTCCACCCGCGATCCCAGAGCCGTGCCGGGACTAAGGCTGCTGGAGGCCAAAGACGAAAGTCAGGTGACGCTGTTGTAGAGGAGGTAGCAGAAAGAACTGTGCCAGTCATGGTCTTGGCCAGGTCCTTCGTGAGGAGAAGGTCGCAGCCTCGGCAAAACATTGAGCAGACACCTGCAAGCCATCAGTCGCCATCTGTGGGTTTTTGGATGTCTTTGCGGCAGCGCTCGATCTCGGCTCGGGTCATCCGAGTGCCGGCCAAGCCACGGCCTCTGCAGCCGGTCGAAAAGACAACACGCTGCCAACATCATCACCTCAGCCCGAGATTCCGAGATCTGCGAGGCCATTTGTCCCAGGCACAAGCTCTGTAAGGACTGCTTGTTTTTGATGCTTCAAGTGGCACGCGTCATGGCCAAAGGCGTCCAAAGACCGTCATGGTAGGATGCAAACACCAGACTTTTTCAAGGGTGTAGCATTCATGTGCTTTCATCCGCCCGGTCAAGTCGCGAGAAGGGACTGCTGGTTGTGCTGGCGTGGGAGCGATACGGCCAGTGCATGCTGAGAACATCTGAGAACACTCATGAAGCTCCATCACCTGTTTGTCCATGTATGTGTGTGTGTGTGTGTTGCAGGTGTTGCAGTCGAGCAAAAGTGAGTGCTTTCTGCAACGTTGTTGGTGCGGGGTGGAATTTACTTATGTTATCCATCCCCGCTCGCCCCTTTCACATCGAATCGGTCTGGGCTCTTCAAGCTGTGCCTCTCTGTGTGAGGGCATGCAGTCATGGTTCGCCTAAGTAGCAAACTCCCGGCTGCGTTCATGCATTGCATTCGCATCACGTGCACACGGGTTCTTGTTTCGAGTCGAGGTGTTCAGGTTTCCCTTTGAGGGTTGGGCTCACAGCGTGACATGATGGACATCCCAGTCTCTGGGTTACGGCGAAATTCCTAGTCATCTTTGGCAATTAGTACCGCTCACCAGCCACAGTGTTTCCAGATCTCTCTCGACTCTAGACGAAAGAGACTCTTCAGGATCCCTGCCTCCTTCCATCTGAGGTCGAGGTGCAGATTTTGCTGGCAACATCCAAAGAGCTGGCACGGTGCGCAGGGTTTGGTTCAGGTGTTGTAGATCCACGCAGACTAAGAGGGAATTGCTGGAACACTCTGCAAGACTGTGGCACTGTCGCATTTTTCGCAGGGCCGTGTCCATCAAAAAGAAGGCTGTTCAGGACCTGCGTATGCTTTGTCCTGAAGCCTTTTCCAATTATTGCCTCCTATTGCATGCGGTCGCACAGTCTTGCGTCTTGCTTTTCGCGCATGCGTCGAGAGGAGGTGAGAAAGCTTTCCAAGCTCAGTGCAGAGGCCGGGAGCAGTGTACTTCAGGTGCTTGGCGTGAGTGTTGAAAATCCAGACCTGCGATAAGGAGACACAGCAGCTTGTCGGTGAAGAGGTCGACAGTGTGGAGCCTTCCTCTTCAAGGTGCTTGATCATGTGGCAATTGGAGCTGCTGCAGCATGCGCTAACGCTGCACTTTTGACCAGGTCAGCAGAGAAGGGCGACCTACCACCCGATGACGGTGAGAAGCATGAGTGCATGTCATGTGAATTGCTTGCTGATATGCCGATGCCAGGCGAAGTTGATTCGACAGCCAGGGCTGACTTGCCCGCGACAGCTCGCAAGCGCGGCAGGAGGCTCTCCACTTCAAAAGCCACCGGATCAGCACAATCAGCACAATTGTCACAAGCTCCTCGTTCTGGCGCTGGCGACGCGGATCTCAGCGGAGAGGTCGAAGCCGGGAATGAAAGCTGGCCGATCCGACCCGCTGGGTCGAAAAGCCCACGGACCGGGCAGCTGTCACCCAAAGGAAAAGCGAAAGAAGCGAAAGCTTCCAAGGCTCAAGCAGCACAGCAAGCGAATACTGCAGCTCAGGCCGCCCAGGCGGCAAAGGCGGCTCAAGCCACAGATGCTAGGAAAGGCAAGCAGCGAGGAGAGCTGGATACTGACAACTTCGAGACACAGTCGCCTGCAGAAAGGAGGGTCCATCCAGCTTGGTTTCGAGTCCCTCGTCTCATGTAGCTTCTACGCAATCTCTTTGTCGAGATGGCAGGCAGTCACTCTGTCAGCACTGTCCGCTCAGGCGCCATGTTTATAGATGTTGCGGCTGTGCACGTGCAATCGGAGCTTGTGAAGGGCTGCAACGTTCTTCTGTTGTTCATGCGGAGATGACAGCATGCTAGGGGGAGCCCGAAGGATTGTTGGCAGAGAAATGTTGGGCAGGGCGCAGTCCTTCTAATAAGAATTCTGGCAGTATGACAGGAGAGGAGTGACTCTGCGGCTGCAGGAGTGCATTTGGCTGTTGCTTGTTGCATCGGCCGTTTTGATCCGCCTGCTTGAGACCTCCTCATGCAGGACGAGCGAGGTCGAAGATAAATGTTTCCGGCGACGACCCGAATGACAAGAAGCTCAAGGCAGCTAACTTGGAAAGCAGTGAGCCCGGGTGATGAAACCATTCTGGGTTGTTCTTGATGACTTGGCATCGGCATGCTGAGATCGGTCGGTGGCACGAAAGTTAAATCAACGACAACAGGACGCATCCGAAAGAGCAGCACCTATGTCGTTTTAGACGAGTTGTCCTTCAGTGGGAATGGTATGGTTGCCGCATGAAGCTGAAGGAGTTGGAGAAGCTGGCGAAGCAGGCTCTAGGCGATTCGCAACCGCAGGGTAAAGCAGTTGCTGCACATGATCTGAAGTCGACCCAGGCCGCAAGGCCACTGTGCCTCGAAAGCAAGACACAGACACAGAAGCAGGCCTTTTTGGCAACATCACGTTATCCGGGCTGGGTGCCCGCGCATGCCTGCTGAGGCTGGGAAAAGAAGATCCACGGTATGCAGGTCAGCATCAGGCACAAAGAGGCCTCTGTACAGGGTCGAGCTTCACCGAAATTCTGCTCCGCTTGAGGAATGGGGCGAAGATGGCGGACTTTTGGGAGGAGCGGCTTGGAGTTTGGCATGAGGAGGCAAGGGAGTTGAGAAGCAATGGAACGAGAGTGAGAGAGAGCGCATAGAGGAAGCCGGGCAGCGGGCGAGAGAGAGAGAGAGAGAGGTCTGGGGCGGGAGGAATGCTCCTGCCTCAAACCCCGAGCAAAGCAAAGCAAAGAGGTCTGGCTACGCGTGAACACTACCAGGCAGTAGGCGAAGAAGCGCGAGGCCTCATGTAGACCCAGTATGCTCACCCATGCTCCGGGGACCCGCCAGCTAGAGCGATGCAAGTTGCAGACCGTGGCAAAGAGGGCAGCACTCCTCACTGGCATTTAGATTCCCAAAAGACAGAGAACACATTGACCGCAGGTCTTAGGCAAGCATTCACCCCATCCCATGCCCACTTCCCAGAAAGAGTTGATTGGCAGGCTTGAACGGTGTTCCAGTTCCTCTGTGCGGGGAATGGAATGGCACTTTGATACCATCGTTTGCAGTGTTGCTCTGTAAACTGCTTGCACACGCTGGACGGCAATGGGAGCTGTTCATTTGGAGACCAGTGTCATGGGAGAAACGAAGTCCCAGACGAAGAAGGCTTTCTCAATGAGGTGCACCCAAAGGCCCATTGTCTCCAAGGCAAAGCAGTCTCTCCAGTCTGCTTGCATGGACAAGACAAATGTGAGGTTCTTGCCCTAGGCTGCTAGGTCTGCAGGTTAGGGTACGTGCCTTCTCTGGGTTTGTGATTCGCATCATTTGCGGACTTGGTGGTGCGGGCTGCAGTATCAAAAATGATGGACTTCCTGATCTGTGGGGCAGTGGTCTGGGGAGGCAACTAGATGCTGTTTTGCATTGCTTTGGTAGCACGAGGGCTGTCGGTGTCTACACAAAGTCGATCTCGTTGTCTGTCGACATGGGCATTGCGGGGTGCATAACGGAATCCAGATAATTGGTTCATTGTTGTCTACATCATGAGATCCTGGTTTGATTGTGTCATCTTGGTAGCGCACCATGCGTCGAGTAGACCGTCCTTAGACCGTCATGCATCGTGCATGAGCCAATGAAGTCAGCATACATTCTATGTCTTGGGGCTCACCCAGGCATCAGTATCGGGCAGGTACCTTCAGTGTTGGTCGTTTTAAACCTGAGTTTCGCTGCATTCCCTCCATGATTATGTAGCTTGTTAGACTTAGCCTGTCTTGCAGTCGATATCTCAACAGCTGCAGCAGCGACGCGAGGGTAAGCATAAATGAGCACCGGGGCCCCGAAGCAGACTTCCAGTTGAGTATTTGTTTGCCGCGAGTTTCCATCGATGGGAGAAACACTATTCCCCGGCAATAGGTCGAAGCTCGTTGCGGGGAAGAGGTCTTGCTTGAGCTCCAGCGGCTGTCAGAGGCCTCTGTAAAGCGAGCACACATGGAAGGGGGAGATGTATGCGTTCTGACCAGTTGAAGCCCCCGGAGCGAGATGCCGAAAGCCTAGCTTGGATGGAATCTCCTGCATTTCAGTCAATTCTTTGCGTGTTGGACTGAGTTGATGCCTTTGCAGATGGCACTGCTCAGGCGCCGTGTCACGTGTCGCAACAATTCGGTTGAAAATTGTTGGACAATCGCAGGCGTGCAAGGACGGACATGCAGAATGTGGACAGGGTGCAGCAGGCATGACATGCCTCATGCTGGTACAGTGTTTGTCTAAGACCTGCAAGGCTGGAACAGATCTCAAGCAGCGCTTTGCTGCTGCAGTGGAGCCAGCAGCCATGTGAATGGGCGATCTGACAGTGCATGTTGGCACGGCTGCTAGATTCTGCTAGATCTCTTGCTGCCTGCTACGGTTACCATGAGGCATGGAGACGTGAACCTCAAGGATCTTCAGAAGTCAGCACCTCAAAAGCGCACTAAGACGTTCCTGCACCTCACCTGACAACAGATATGCACCGGCTTGCAGAGAAGGGTGAAGACATCTGACTGTCTCAGGGAAGTGTCCAACATGATGAAGCGGCTCTCGGTGCAAGCCTTGGCTGCCAAAGCGGAGGCCAACAAGCAAGCATCGAAATTCGTTTCTAAGGCGGACTTGTCACTGGGTCCTCCAGGCCTTGCCCTTACTGCAAGCGCAGTATCTGCTGGGACAGCTGGGACCTCCAGGCGTGCTGGTGAGAGAGCATGCAGGGCGAAAGCCTTCGGCGGTCGAGCGCAGGTCTCCTGCAGGGCGTGGCGAAGGTACAGCCGATGCTGCCGCTGCGCGCAGGTGACGAGACCACGAGCTCGCCTGGACTGCCTGGACTGCATGGCTCTTGCAGACCCGAGGTCAGTCCGACAGTCCATGAAGAGCCGGAAGACGGCCGTAGAGGCTCCATTTCACGTTGAGCTGCGTGTCTGAATGTGCGGGCATGCCCCCATTCTTTGAGGCAGCTCGGGAGGCTTTGCGCCAACGTATGGCAGGCGCGCACGTCCAGACCTCAGAGCGCACCGTCTTTCCAGCAAACCTGTCTCTTGCAAGCTGGACTGAGGCAGCAAGAGGGCCGGGGCTCTCAGCAAGTCTGTGGTACGGAAGGCTACCTTTGTGCAAGTTCTTCACTCCATCTTGTCGAGGCAGAGTCGAGGCGCAGACCAGGGAAGAGGAGTTAGAACGGACTGTAGAGAAGTTGGAGTGTTTTGGCGCTGCGCAGGTCCTCAAGCGAGCTTTTTCGCCTCCAGCCAAGGGGTGAAGACGATGCCCCTGACAGATGTCAAGGATCTGGGTTCCAGGCGCCGAAGTGTGATTGCGAGTGGCCGTTCTTGCTCTCGGTGGTGGTGGGGCGCGAATGTCGAAACGTGTGGGGAGCGTACCCAGTTGCCAACATACCTGAAAGGAAGAGTCTGCACGCGATGCGGCAGCAGCTGGGCGTCAGGCGGACTCTCGTCGCCGACGAGGTTGGTGGCGGCTGTCCTGTCTTTGGAGCATTTTCTTAACTTTGCAAGCCGCCGGAGGGCCTGATGTGCCGTTCAACAGCCGCGAGTGCGTACTACCAGCAAGTTGCTTGGAGTTCAGCCGAACTTCAGGTTTGTGGCTGGCGGGTTTGCAGAGTGACTTCAAATTCTTGGCTAGCTGCAACCCATCGATCTCCGTCAGCCATTGGCTTAGCTTAAATATGTCACTGACGGTGCTGCCACTTACGAGTAGCGATTGGGGTTCTCCTTGTGATCCAGACTGCGGGAATGTCAGACAGGCACCAACGGATAAGTATATTTCCCGAAATCGAGCAGTGTTGTGCCGGTGCTGGCATGCTGCGATTGGACTTCCACTCGCGCGGACTGCTTGTGACAGGCCGCTTGCCACCATGATTTTTTCGTTTGTGGAGTGACCCTGTTTTCATCAAAGCACCAGGGCATGTGCGTCCTTGTGGCAGGCGAGACTTACTCGGCGCGAGCGGTGCTCAAGGTGCTTGCAGTGACGGACGAGCACCGAGCAGCCGCGGTAGTTCTTAGAGAGTGGAAGAGCTGTGCGAGCTGTGCGAGGCAGAGGGCCGCTGGGATGGGGGGCTGAAGGGATGGCTGCTGCCTTTCGAGGGTAAAGAGCAGCGAGCCAAGCTTTGCAAAGGCTTTGCACCTTCGCTTTTATTCTTTCAATACTTCACATCTTTGCCGCGGCTTTTGGTACTCAGGAAGTTGCTACAGGCCTTGAAAACCACCGGGTCGCCGTTGAAGGTGGACGATCATGCAAAGGCGAATTGTTGCATTTCGAGCAGTCTGCAGGTCTGTTGCAGTGCGGTCGCCCTGTGCATGACGCATGCCTTTCCGGATCTCCCGACAGCGCAATCCTGAATACTGAAAGGTTCAGGCTGACAACTAGTCGCTGGCCGCTAATCCATACCTTTTCGCATCCCGCTGTAGCAAGCATGTCTCGGCCAAATCGTCGTGCCGCCCGTCTGCGGCGGCCTAAGTTTCTTCTCGTGAATTCAGACTGGAGCAGTGGTGAATCAGCTTTGTACTGCCTTGCAGAGCAGTCGATTCGAAGATAAGGTCCGCGCATTTAGTTCCTCGTCTTTGCAGAGACTCATACGGGGCCTGTGGTTGCAACTCTCCACGGCAGCGTCAGCAAGGAAGCTTGGTTCCTCGCATCTGCCGGAATGACCCAGCCACAGGATACAGCTGGAGAGATGTTCACGAAGATCTCGAGGCTGGCGTGTATGCAGGATGCTATGGTTGGGACCATGCTGCCTACTGGGGCATTGCCGAGGCCAAGGCGGGGGTCGACTTGAAAGAATGGTACAAGACACGAACAGAGGCCGAGTTCTACCTGCCAGAGTTCAAGGAACTGATTGATGACCCCGCAACTCATAAAGACTGGGATCGAATCTCGACATTTGACCCTTTGGGCATGACTGCACATCCTCCAACCATTGCTGCATGCAAAGCCAAGCTGGATATTCCAGAGCTGAAGGACCGATTTGTGCAGAAGCCTTTGCTGAGAAGTTGCAATGTTCAGTATCAGTCGGTGTAGCTGATTTGTGTGATGGAGCTTAACCCCCGAGGACTTGCGGATGGACGGCGAAATCGTGCTGCCTTCGAACGAGATTGTTACATCGAAGTGTGCCATCAGCTATGCCTGGAACATTCCCCTCATGGCGGAAAGGGTGGGCCTAGGTGAGCAAGAGCTTCGGGAAGCGCTGCACAAGTTCTCCCACGACAGCCGGCTGCTGGACCCCAAGGTGAAGACCTACCTTCCAGCTGTCGGAGGGCTGACAATCTACACTTTCGGTGATGCACGAAAGCTCAAAGATGAACGGACCGAGGTGTGCGTGCGCGTGCACGATGAGTGCATCGGCTCGGATGTCTTTGGAAGCGATATCTGCAGCTGCCGGCCGTACCTGATCTTTGCATTGCGAGAAGCTGTCGAGTGTGCCCAAAGGGGGGGAGTTGGTGTCGTGGTGTACTTTAGGAAGGAAGGACGTAGCCTTGGCGAAGTCATCAAGTTCAGAGTGTACAATGCCCGTGTCAATCAAGACGGCGGGGACCGCCCTGAGATGTACTTCCACCACACCGAAGCCATTGCGGGTATCCGAGATGCCCGCTTCCAGACCATGATGCCAGATGCCCTGAATTGGATGGGGATCCGACGCATCGATCTTCTCTGTTCTATGAGCAATGAGAAGTACGAGGCTATCACCGGCGCCGGAATCCAGGTCATGAAGAGAGTAGACCTTCCCGCAAACTACATCAAAGACAGCATGAAGGTCGAGCTCGATGCCAAGATTGCAAGTGGATATCATTCTGATGCAGTGGAGGAGGAACAGCTTGCGGACAGAGCGGTCAGTAGCCCAAGATGAGGGGATGTCCAGGCACTCTGTCCCCGGACATCACGCCCTTGTATTTGTCTGGCTGCTTTG